AAAAGAGTTAAATTGTAATCAACAAATTCAGGCTAATTACAAAGGCTAGGATTTGCTGAGTTTAAACTTTAAACCTACTGGCAATCACATGTACACAATCTACATAATCTTTCTTCTGACAAAAGAGATCCCTTTACAATGCAATCTTTACTGTACATCATATATATACATTTGTACATTTATACACCTGCAAACAAGCATGTTTAAGTTCAGTATACCCCAAAAGTTCACAAGTAAAGAATAAATTTTTTAATGTTAGTAGGATTTAACGACACTAAGAAGCAGATCGATTTAAAAAAGTAAAACCATGATAATATTTAAAGGGCAACTGATAAATATGATCTTCAATAACAAAACACATGAAAAATTACATACATTGATTTTTATGTATCATGTATGTGATAAATCGGTTTCGACCTCAGCAGATTAATGATTCGTATATTCAAGAAAAGCTGCAGACTGTATTATAATAAACTAAAATGGTAATACCTGATTATGATCTATCTTCTCCCTCTAAGCTATGGAGCTTCTTTTTGAGTCTGGTATAACAGAAACCTCATTATCCATACGGGAAAATTATTATACATATACATAAACGTCCAACATAATGAATAGCGATAGATCTTCTTTTGTGCAAACCTATTGCATGAATTCTCGAGGAGGAGTTCGGCCCATGTATTTTTCCACAGACTCTCTCTTATGCTCTGGGTCAAGGCTGTCAGTACAAAAATAATTTCCAATGAAATCATCATCATTATCATAATAATAAGGCAAAAAAGCATTCTTAGTCCCGTTGGTTTAATGTCATAGCAATTTTTAGTCCGAAGATTCCAACTTTTCGCTTTTTGGCCTGTGATTTTATATTTTGTTGTAATTTCAGTCGTTTTAGGACTAAAACTGCAACAAAATTTCAAATTACAGGATTTAAATTGCTAATCGAAAATCAGGGAACTGGGACTAAAATTGCTATGGCATTAACATTGGAACCTTGGAACAGAAATTGCTATGACGTTAAACCAGCAGGAATAAAAATGCAATTTTGCCTAATAATAATAATAATAATAATAATAATAAAAGAATAGATGGATTCTAGACCTGTTCCTAAAGCCAAGAAGAGCACAATGCACTGCACGAGCAGCACCAGAAGCTGGGGCTATAGCTGCCGCTGGGGCAGACTGCACGACAGTAGCCAAAGCGGACCCCACACTGCCACCTCGTTGGTACTTTTTCAATGGAGTTTGTACCAAAGCAGAAGCCGATTTTCCAAGGCCATCACTAATGCTTTGGTAAGCCTAAAATCAACAGAAAATTAAACCTTATTTNTGTGTTTATCAATAACACCTGTTGAATTCCTTGTTGGGCATCATTAGGCTGATTTAATCTCACATTGGTACCCACTTTGCTTTCTACGGGCCATGGTACAGAGGGTGGTATGCTTGCTAGGATATATTCTGCTTGGTGGAGAACATTATGGGCTCCGGCAGCTAAATGTACTCCTAGTCCAATGGCTTCGAGCGAGATGCTTCTAAGAAATGCAAAAGTACCTGTAATAATAACAGTTCATTAACAGACTTAAATTAAAAACTCCACGCAAGTAAAAGATTTGCTCTTTTCGAAAAATGGAAAGTTTACATGCTCTGAATCCTACGGTCTAGAAGAACTCACGCTGTGAAGTGCACGGGGGGAAAATAAAATAAAGAACAAAGACCAACAATTTTCCGTATGGCATCAGTTTCAATAGATTAAAGGGGTGCTTGTTTACAAATTATTTCACTCACATTTAATCCATATTCAAAATCTAACTCAACTTTAACTCAACCCCACTATCTTTAATATTATTCATATAATACAAATCAATCAGTCTTACACATCACATCAACTTTAATTCACAATTCATCCACTCACATAATTTTAACTATCACTTCACATCATCTTTCTCCTATTTTTACATCAAGTCAACTTTAATTATTTTATTTTAAATATCATTTTAATGTAAATTCAACATCCCACTAACAACTAACTATACTACCTTTTTCAAACTTAACTCTGGTCAACCAAAAAAGCTCATTTTGAGCGGATTAATTTGTAAACAAGCACGCCCTAAATGGTGTCCACATGCTCATAAATTGCCTTCTGAAGTTACCTCTTTGCATTCCTTTGAGTAGTCTATGATCCTTTTTGTAATTCTTTACAGGCAGAGAGACCAATTTTGCAGCTCCAGTACCAACAGCAAACAAGGACTTAATGGGAGGAAGGCCTTTTAACAGTTTATGAATCTAAAGAGATTACAATTGGTCAGAACTCACATATTCATGAATATCAGATTTGTTGTTTTGAAAAATAATAGATTTAAGGTGGACCTGATTTTGAGAAATGTCTTCTAGCCACTCCCCAAGGATTGTCTCACAAACACTTCCCCAACCGTAAAGACCAACTCCTTGAACATGTTTGAGTTGTAACTCCACACCCTGCATATGTTACACAGTTATTTAAATTGGCAATGATATCAATAATACTGATAAATGGAAGTATGAAGAATTATGACGCTGTAAAGAATTCATGACATAAGCATTAGGCAGACCAAAACAATGTGTAGTGCATTCTGCAGGTTTAAATATTTTTAGGTCGGATGATTCTCAACAAGAATAATAACTTTATCAGGATAACAAGGAGGCAGAACACAAGTGGAAGCAGATTAAATAAAAGCAGTAGCAAAGTGAAAATGCCAGCCGTTATTATTAAGTACATAACAAATTACTTCCTGCTTGATCTTTTTACCCAGAGTTGGAGAGCTTTCCTGTCTTTCGATCTAGTTATTCTGTCATTGGGTTTTGAAAGTGTTCGTTTTTAATCTCACTTGAGACTGCAAAAACTATTCTTTAAAGAAAAATAGGCATTGATCAGAACATTACCTTCCAAGGTACAAGGTTAACAAGTTCAACATATTTGCCACCCCTTAATGCAGTTAAGTCAACACGGCAAGGACTATAATCAACTCGGATTAGCATCGGGCATATTTCAAATTTCTGCAACAGAGCAAAGAAAGATGAGCAAAAGCATGATTAAGAGTAAGGTGTAGCCCTTTTATGAGCAAAAAAGATAACTGGTACAGAAGAGACAACGTGGGCATTAGAATTTACAAGTAAATTGTGAAGTAATCAACGTCAACGTGAGTGAAGCACATACGATAAGAGAACACTTTCTGAAACTATGAAACACATTAAAATGAGTGTTCACAGTCACCAAAGTTAACTTCATTAGCATAAAATACCTGAAAGTAAGTAAGAAATGCCTCATTAATGTTGCAACACTGTACATTGTCACTCTTCTCACATGGCTCTCCCGAGTTGCCTAAACCCAATGGAGTACTGGGAGAAGATTCAGCTGATAATTCTTTTCCGCCAAAGAACTTGATCAGAAAGTCTAGTTGGCTCTGGTGAAGATGCAACCGAATAGGAAGTATCGCAATACGCAGCCTGAAAGCAACATCATAAGTTACTTCAGACATCCCAGGATATGGTTTTATTTATATTGATGTTTTTGTCTCATGATAAGACCTAAGCGATTACCAACCAAACTACCGCAAAATAAG